AGGATGGGGAAAAAAAAAGGGGGGAAAAGAAAGAAAGGAAGAGGGGGGGGAAAGGGGAAAACGGAGAAAACGAGAGGGGAAAAAAAGGAAAAGGGAGGGAAAAAGGGGGGAGAGGGGGAAGGGAGGAGGGAGGGGGAAAAAGCCGGGGGGGGGAAAAGGGGGGGGGGTGAAGGGGGGCGGTGGAACAAAGCGGAAGGGGAGGGGAGGAAGGGGAGAGGGAGGGGGCAAACGAAAACGCAGACGACAGGGGGTGGCAAGGGGAAAAAAAGACAGGGGAAGGGGAAGAGAAAGAGGAAGGGGGTTGAGGGTGTAAGGGCCAAAGAAAAAAAACAAAGGGGGGGCCGGAAGAACGGTGAGAGAAGGAGGAAAAGAAGGGATGTGTTCCTATCTGCGGAGCGGCCCGGTGGGGTTGGCTCGTTGCCTCCGGGGGGGGGGGCCGGGGGTTGTCGCCTGGGAGGCCGAGGGGCCTGGCGGCCCGGGGGGAGGCTGGTTGGCGGGAAGCAAAGGGGCAAAGAAAGTGGGAAGGACTGGCAAGGAAAGGGCTGCAGGGGAAAGGGGGGTGGGGACAGGGGGGAAGGGGCCATGAAATGCGGGAAAAAACGGAGGGGGGAAAAAGAACGGAGGAATAGGAAGGAGGAGGGAAGGAGAAAAAAGGAAACAGGGGAACGGAGGGGAGGGATGAAGGGGAAAGTGGCGGGTGGGAGTTGGGAGGTGTGGCGGCGGAAGGGACGATAAGGGGGGGGAAGGGGAAAAAGGAGAGTGGAGTGGGGGGAAAAAAGGGGAGAAGGGGGGAAGGAAAAAAAAGGAAAGGGGGGGAAAAAAGGGGAGGGGGAAAAAAAAAAAAAAAAAAAACAAAAAAATGAAAAAAAGGGGAGAGGGGGGAAGGAGGGGAAAGCAAGGGGGAGAGGAGAGGAAAAGGGGGGGGAAGGGGGAAGGAGGAAAAGGGGAGGGAAATGGGAAAAAAAAAAGGGAGGAGGAAGGGGAAAGAAAAAGGAGGGGAAAAAAAGGGGAGGGGAGGAAGGGGGAAGGAAGGGGGGAAAAGGGGGAAAGGAAGGGGGGAAGAGAAAGGATAAGGGGGGAGGGGGAGGGGAACGGGAAGGAGGGGGAAAGGGGGGAGAGGAGAAAAAAAAGAGAGAAAGGAAGAGAGGGGGAGAAAAAATGGGGAAGGGGGGGGAGAAAAAAGGGACAGGAAGGGGGGGAAGAAGGGGGGAGGAAAGACAAGGAAAGAAAAGGAAAAAAAAAAAAAAAGGAAGAAGAGGGGAAAAGGAAAAGAAGGGGGGGGAAAAGGAGGGGGAAGGAGGGAAGGAAGGGAGGAGGGAAAATAAAAGGAGGGGGAAAAAAAGGGAGCAAGGGGAGAAAGGGGGGGGAGGGGAGGGAGGAAAAGGAAAGGGGACAAAAAAAAGGGCAGGAAAGGGAGGAAAAAAAAGGAGGGGGGGGGAGGGGTGAGAGAAAGGGGGAAGGGGGGGGGGAAGGGAAAAAAAAGGAGAAGGGGGGGGGGGAAAAGGAAGAGGGGAAAAGCGGAAGGAGAGGAAAAGAGAAGAAAGGGTGGGAGGAGGGGAAAGAAGGGGGGTGAAGGGAGGAAGGAAAGGAAAAAGGAGGGAAGGAAACGGAAAAATGCTGAAAAGAGGAAAAAGGTCAAAGAAGGGACGGGAGAAAAAGAAGAAAGGGAGCAGGGAGGAGGGAAGGGGAAAAGCGGGAAGGAGGGAAAAAAGGATAATGGGGAGAAGGAAGGCCCCCTAGGGAAAAAGGGAAAAAGAGGATAAAGGGGAAAGGGGGCAGGAAAGGGGAGGAGAAGGGAGGGTGGGGGATCTGGCGGGGAACGAAAAGAAAAAAAAAGGGAGGAAAAAAAAAAGGGGAGGGGAAAGGGAAATAAAAAAAGAAAGAGGGACTGAGGGGGGGGAGGGGAAGGGGTAGGGGATTGTGGGCGGGGGGGAAAAAAAGGAAGGAGGAGGAAAGGGAAAGGAAAGGAGAAAGAAAAAAAAAGGGGGGGAAGAAAAAGAAAGGCAGGGGGAGAAGGGGGGGAAAAAGGGGGAAGGAAATAGGGGAAAGGAGGGGAATGGAAGGGGAAAAGGGAAGGAAAGGGGGGAAAGGGAAGGAAAAAAGCCATAGGCGGGGGGCGGGAAAATAGAATAAAAATAAACAACACGGGGGGGGGTGTTGGGATGAACCTTTACGGGGTCGCCGGGCACCCGGCCTTCCCGGTCGCGGCCCCCGTGCGCGGGGTTGCCGGGGCGGAGTGCTGGCGGGCGGGGCCTTGGTGCTTCGAGGGGGAGGGGCGCCCGCCGGTGCCTCCGGACGTTTTGGCGGTTCCCCCGCGGGGCATGCGTTCGTCCCGCGCAGTCTCCGTGTCGTTCGGGGGGTTCGTGGGGGGAGTCGGGGTGTGGGGTATGTGGGCCCCTTCGGCCGCCGGTGTGTGGCGGGCTGGGGGGGGGGACGCCCCCGTCCCGTGCAGTGGTGTGGGGGGAGACCGGTCGGTGGGGGCGCACCGCCGGGGGGCAGTCGTGGGTCTGGCCGTCCACGCGCTGGGCTGGAGAGGCACCGCCTCCCGAGACGGGGGCCGGTGGGGCGCGGGGTGGTAGGCACAACTCCCCCCCCCCCACCTCCCGTCTTTTTCCCCCACCCCGCTTTCTTCCCCCCCCCCGTAACCCATTCCCCTCTCCTTTTCTCCCACTCTGTCCCCCCCCCTCCCACCCCCACCTTCCCCCCTCCCCCCCCCCCCCCCCCCCCCCCCTCCCCCCGCCTTACTCTCTTCCCCTTCCCTGTTTGGGGGACCTGAGGGCGGCGTGTGGGCAGGCGGTATGGCGGCTTGCGCCGGAGAGGGGGGCTGACTCTCTCAAAGTGCGCGGCACCACGGGAGAGAAAGTGAAGAGGGGGAGGAAGGGGGTAAACGAGGGATCGAAAAAAAACGGAGGAGGCAAACGGTAGGGGGGGTGGGGGAACAAAAAAAAAAGGGCAAGGGAAACCCGGGGTAAAGGGATGATGGGGAAAAAAGAATTGACAAGCCAAAAAAAAAAAGGAGGGAAAAAAGGGGGGAGGAAAAAGGGGAATAGAAAAGGGGGAAAAGAAAAAAAAAGCGGGGGAAAAAGGGGAAAAAGAGAATGGGGGGAAGAGAAGGACAGGAGGAAAAAACTAAGGGGAAGGGGGGGAAACAAAAAAGAAAAAAGGAAAAAAGGAGGAGAAAAAGGGGAAAATGGGAGGAAACGGCAGGGGAAGGGGAAGGGGACGGGAGGAGGGGAAAGAACAAGGGGTGGGTGGGGCTGGGAAAAAAAAAAAAGGAGAGACGCAAAAGTGGCGGGGGGTGTGAAAGGGCAGGGAAGATGGGGAAAAGGGAGGAATAAAAAGGGGAGAACCGGAAAAAGAAAAAGAAAGGGAGGTAAAGAAAAAAGGAGGAAGGGGGAAAGGGAGGGAAAAAGAAGAGAAAGGAAAGGGGAGAAGGAGGAAGGGGAAAGGAGGGAAAGGGAAAGGGGAAAGGGGGGGGGGAAAAAAAGGAAAGAAGAAAGAGAAAGAGGGGGAGGGGGAGGGAAAGGAAAGGGGGGGATCGAAGGAGGAAAGGGGAAGGGAAGGGAGGGGGACGAAAGGAAAAAAAAAGGGGAAGAAAGGGGGAAGGAAAAAAGGAACAGGGGAAAAGGGGAAAAGGGAGAGGAGGGGAGGAAGACCAGGGACAAAAGGGGGAAGAACGGAGGGGAGGAAAAGAATGGGATAGGGGGGAAAGCATTGCGGGCCGGTGGGGAGGAGCGGGGGAGGGCGCCGTTGCTTGGGAGGGTGGGGGGGGTGGGAGGGGGCGTCGGCCGCGTGGGGTCGCGGCGGCGTCGCGGTGGCCGGGGTGTCGTTGCGGGGTCATGCTTGGCTGGTTATGGTTGGATGATTGTTTGGTGCTGGTTGGTTGTTGGTTGTTGGTTTTGTTGTTTGTTTTTTGTATTGACACTCAGATTAAAATGAAAAAAAAAATTTAGAGCTTTATTTTGAGTTCTAGTACAATTCAATTTAGCCGTTAATCAGTTAAATTTTTTCCCATCCAACGTACTGAAAAATTTGTATCGGAAATCCATTACTTAGTAATTATATATGTCAGTCAGAATGGCTTGTCACTTATATATAAGGCTTCTCAAAGGGTTGCGGAGCGGAGTTATTGATATCATGTGACAAGTCTCCTATCGATTATTTCTTTGCTTTTCTCATTGGCTTGCTTTTAATATTGCTTTCCGAAGCAATACCTCATTTTGCAAATAGCTAAGACTAAGCGTTGACCCTGTAAGCGCTATACATGTGGTGGTGAGGGAAATTTTGGAACAGTTTTGAAAGAATATACATTGCACTTTTCAAGTAACATACTGCAACTTGCAAAAGTCTGCCACATGCTGGAACATTGTTACCACTCTCATAATGCAAAATTCTCTCCGCTGAGTATTGTTACTGCAGCGACGATACATAATAAAATTTTACATTATCCAAAAAAATCCATTTTAACTTGTCCCTGGGCGAAATTATTCTCTTCTTTTATCTAACAGTTTAAAAAATAATTTCTATTGGTTCCAAAATTTAGCAGTAGGCAAATTACAGTCATGAAAAATGTATAACACAAATATTAAATCATTTAATGATTAGGAGCCCGGCAAAATCCATAACATATGAAAGAGGCTCTCGTACTCATTTAAGCACAGCAGTTTGTGAAATTTTATTGGTGTTTTCATAATGTGTTCTGTAGAGTATTCATAGAGGTATATTTCTGGAAAATCAGGGGCTGTCAGACGATACCGAAGTTTATATACTCCAGATTTATATGCGTAGGTCTAATTGGAATATGCAATTAAGTGATGGGAAAAATATCTTTCAAACTATCGGTGAATTTTAGTTTAAGGTAAATATTGCTATAAGCTTATACATACTTAACTTTCACAATATTTTAATTAAGAAAAAGTCATTAATATTTGATTATGTGGAATTGTTACTCTGAATTTCATTTAACAACTGTTCATTATGTTTCTGGAATTTTGTTTCAGAAAATGACTGGCAGATGCTGCAGTTTTTTCTTCAATATCCGCTCAAGTGGTAAAATTCCTTGCAGTTCATGCTAGTTGGAGATGTTTTTAGTTATTCAGTTTCCTTTATTTCATTTTTAATTGAAAGGATGGCAGTTCTTCTCTGTGACGCGGTTCTAAGACTTAAATGTTGCCATAAATCGAGATCAAGATTCTTGGCGGCTTAATTCCTTACTCCCCGACAAGTCTGAAATCAAGAACAGTCAAGAAACTGGGGAACTTAAGCAATTCCACGATAATAGCCGAATGATAACATTAACCGCGATCACATTAAGCGGGGCATATTGTGAATGGTATTCTTAATACATCTGAACACATGACCGCTCATCACTTTTAACATTTAATACTGGAAATTTTAAAAAATTTAAACTTGCTTTCTAGGAACAAAATGTGATTGTAATTTGACATACAGTGAGTGTAGAAATTATTCGTGCACTCATCAAAGGCAATATCTAATAAAAAGCTTTTACCAAATACGAGGGCAAAAAATGATATGGAAAAGATATTGAAATAGCTTTTAAATGTACGAGAAACTAAGGACTGGAGATTAATTGGTGAGTCAATGTATTCGTACATTCAAACAAATGCAAAATTTTGTTAGCATTTTCTGATTGATTCTTTGATAATTGACATATCTTTCGAGTTATATAAAATGAACGAGTGTAACTTCAAATGTCATAAGAAACATAAAATTTTAATATCGGTCGTAAGGACAAAGAAGTGAGTGTTTCGGAAAGAGAATTAATCTTAAATCTTCTTAAAGGCTTTAAATCGTACAATAAAATTTCAGTTTTTGTCTCCATACTACGTTCAGCTGTGCAGTCGATTATTCTAAAGTTTATTACCTCTAGAAAAGTGCAAAATAGTTCTCGTTCAGAACGACCATATCTACTTACATCCATTGACAGACGATTTCTGGCACGTTCATTGAAGAAAGATCCGAAACAAAGTGCTCCTACCCTTACAGCAGAGTTGAGAAACATTGTAAGAGCACAGTATCCTTAAGTACAACTCGAAATGAATGCAGAAAACAAGGTTACTATGGCCGTGTTGCGAGACGAAAATTCTTTGTGAGGGAGAGCAATCTGAAGTCACGTTTATTCTTCACCAAAAAAAAAAAAAAAAAAAAAAAAAAAAAAAAAAAAAAAATACGTGAATGAAAGCCCAGAGTTCTGGAAGAACATTGTTATTATTATTATTATTTTTTTTCCCAGATGAACGCAAATTCAATATTTTAGGATTGGGGAGGGAGGCTAATGTTTTGGAGGAAATAAAATACGGAGATGATCCTTTTTTTTTTTTTTTTTCTTTTTTTTAATATATACCAAAAGTAAAACGTGCAAGTGTGTTGGTTTTGGGTATTGTGAGTGCTTTCGGGGTCGGTAATTTAGCGATCATTAGTGGCATTATGAACCACTTTCTATATATTGATATTTTGAAAAATATTTTGTGGTCTAGTGCGACAAAAATGAGTTTGGATAGGGAATATGTTTTCATGTATGATAATGACCCCAAGCATACATCCCTAAATACACGGCTCTGGATATTATATAACTACTCAAAGCTTATGAAATTTCCTCCTCAGTCACCCGACTTCAATTACGTTGAGAATTTATGGGAAACTCATGATAAACGTGTTAGATCCAGTCACATTTCTAATAAAAATGACATAATTGCTCTTGAACAAGAATGGGAGTCCGTGCCTAGCTCAGTAACTGCAAATTTGATGGAATCAATGCCAAGGAGACTCGGAAGTCGTTATTCACGCTAAAGGATATCCTACAAGGTATTAATTAAAGTATATTTATGAAAATATTCAGCATTCAGCACGAAAATTTTTCCTACCACAAGATGATGGATTGCTTTTGTTTTGTAAATGTCTTATTTATACATGGATTTATTTTCATGTAAATTTCACATAGAAATATTTTTCATTATACATATTTAATTACTTATTGTGGAATTTAAATTTGCAGTTTTCATCAAAGCGGCATTTTTAGATCATAACATTTACTGTACGAATAACTTTCTACACTCATTGTATTTAAGCTTCTCTTACTCATTTCTCTCTTTTACCTTTCAAGCCTTCTCATAACTGAATAGATTCAGAAAATTCTACTTATCAGTGAAATAGAGAACTTTTATCATTTATAAAGCAGTAAATTTTAATGTCATCAATCAAATACTTTTTTGATTGGGTGGGTTCTACGTTATATGCGACGATGATAGCTTTCTCTTTCTTAGTTCATCTTTTAAGATAGTAAACAATATCCTCAGTGAGAAAGAGAATGTTTTAAAAGCACAGAAGAATTGAGGTTAAAATTGTGCCATTTAGAATTGCATTGAACTGAGAATGCTTAGTAAGCACACTTGAAACTTTTTTTTTAAAAAAAAATGCTGTTTATTCCATGTTGATAGGTGTGAAAAACACTTAAAGTTGCAAAATATACAAGGTGTTTTTAAAGTCTCGGACCCATTTTGATATTTAATAACTCATAAAAGATAGATTAAAATTAATAACATAAATGGTTAGATAGACTCAAAAAGTTTCATGACCCTTGTCCTGAAACTTTTGTCAATGACCCTTGTCATGAAACCTTGTCAATGAACTTCCACGTTCCGTCGCACGGAGAATATAAAGTCGATATTTAATTTCACGCCTGGTACCGGCAAGCACGTCGGCATCCACAGAAGCTATTGCGGTTGTAATTCTGGCTTTATCAAGGTTCGACACTCTCCTCCTGTAAACGTTCTCCTTTACAAATCCCCAAAGGAAAAACGTCCAGCGGCGTTATATCAGGTAACCAAAAACAAAAGAGAGAAAAATGCAATTAATCAGCACACAATATTTAGAAAAGTACAGATATTTAAATGAAAAAATTAATTTCAGAAATGAAATTATCTGAAATTAACCACACACGCAGACGATATTTACAAAAGTAAAAATATTCAAACCTGAAAAGGAAAATATATAAGTTATTTCATTAATAAATGCCAAAAGTTTGCTTATATCTTCATAATTTTATGAGTTATTAAACATCAAAATGTGTCCGGGACTTTATAAACACCCTGTATAACACTTTGAAAAACAAATATGACGACCTCACAAAAACTAAAAGTTACTATAGCTGCTGGTATATAGAGTGATTGATTATAGTATACATACAAAGATTAGATTGATTATAGTATACATACAAAAGAGAAGGGGAGAGAAAAAAGTTTTTTTTTTTTTTTTTTTTTTTTCATTTTTAATTGTCAACCATTTATTTATTTTGGGTAATCATCTTCATCTTCTCACTGCAGATATTTGATATAACTAACACAAGAACGTTATGTCCATTATCTCTATAGCAGTGTGCAAAAAATATTGCATCGCATTGTTGCATTCGTTGGTTATTACGGAAAATAATCACTGATCTACATAAAACGTCATATATTTATCATATAAATTAATTGAAATCGCAGTTGTAACTTGTGTAAAAAATTAAGGGCATCAAATTGCTGTTATTTTTATCGAGAGAGAGGAGGACTAGTATTTAGAACAAGCTGGGAAAAGAATGAAATTCTTTGATGTAGTAACATCCGATGGCACTAATATTTGGTGGTACTTTCCTACCTTAATGATGGTTGCACAAAACAAAGATATATGCAAAATGACATTTTAAATTCGTTCATGGAATATTTCGTAGAACTAAACAAGAATATGTACTTCCCGTAGTTGCGTTTAATATGTCGGGTTTCTTGTTAAACATCTTCCAATCCATCTTGTTCTAGAGTTTTTCTAGTGGGTATAAATTAATTCAAGCCAACCATTTGCATTTGAAAATCACTTCCAGCTCGTGTGAGATTTGAATGCTTCACTTCTAGAGTATATAGGAGGCGATCGTGGCTAAATTCTTCAGTCTTATTCTTGTTTAGTAAATTTATGTCGTACCATCTGGACCATTCAAGTTAAATTTAGACTTATAAAAAAAATAACTATCTTATATTTTTCACTAGTCCATTTACCGTATTCTTGAACTTTACGCGCTGCGATCTCATTTTTTTAAATGAACAAAAGTGTCTTCTTCTGGTGGTGAGCGGCCCTTTAGGCCTATTTATGCTAGTGGAATTTTAAGCCCAAGAAACGCGCGCGAAGTTGACAGCTCTGCTTGATGTCTTTTTAATGGAATTATTTTCATGCGTTGAAGAAGTATTTTAATCTTAGAATTTTGAATGACATTATCGCCCTGTCTATTCTTTTATGCAATAAGTTGAACAGCTACTTAATTTTACCTGAAAAAGAGTGAGTGCCTTTTTTCCTCTTGAGCTGAGTCGCTAAGTTCGCGCGCATGTCATGAGCTCGAAGTTCCGCTAGTGAAACAGGCCTTTTGAAATCAAATGTCTGCGTACAGTACAATTGCTTACCTTCACTCTGCATTTTATGCCCCTTGTATACCTAAGACACGTTTGAGTTCCAGGTGAACAAGATCAGTTCTGTGATAGTGTAAATGGTTTTCGTTCACCACTGCCCACATTCCTGTTTAGAATTTCTGTCTGATGCACTTCCTATGACATGTCGAAAAGCGTTCATCACCCAGGTCTAAAACAATAGTTTTCTTGAGAGGATTTTGTAAATCTGGATGACTATTAACTATTTCTAGTTTATCTTTCTATATGGTATACGACTTTATCATCTTGGTGCTGAACTAGAAGTCTGGAAATCTAAAAAATATAACATTCAAACGATAAAAGTAATGTAAAAGTTAATTCACACGTTTGCTTTGTAGGCACAACTAAAAACGTAAAAAACTTTTTCGCCATTCTTTGCGGAGTCTTGCGATACAAAAATCCTAAATATGTATAATGAAGTAAGTAGATTTATTAATTAAATAACTCGGCTAAAAATTATTCTCGACATCCCAGCATAAACCAAAAATAGGACATGCCAGAAATCACTCACCGAAGCCAGCTTGAACCGTTTAAAAATCGGCTTGGACTTTGTGGGCGTTCACATGTCTGTTTAAATTTAACCGAAATACCGAAGTGCCTGTGCTCGAATCCCGGAGAAGACATGTGTTGTGTCGGTGCGGCATGGCGGCACTCTAAATATGTTATGAGCCGAAAGTCCTCTCGTGTGAATTGGTGGAAGGGGAGATGGGTGGGAGATCCCCGGATCCCCTCGGGGTGCTCTTCCTCAAAATTGGGGTATAAAATGGAAGTTTAACCTCAGTCTGGAGTAGACGCTGGCAATCATTATTCCATGTAATTTGGACAAGACAACAACAACTGACGCAAGACATAGAAGAAACAAAGGAAAAATTAACACAAAAAAAACTTATTAAATAAATTAAACCTTTGAGGTCAACTGCATAATAAACTCATTGCTATATCTCCTAACGCTGCTTCCAGATAATGATGGTTCGCTATGTAAAGCAGTTTTATCTATAGTAAAATGGTGCAATCACTTGAAATGTTGCAGAAAAGCGAAACACAAGCTTAATTTCTTTTAATGCAACATCGTCAAGTTAAAAGCGCAAGAGAATATGCACCTGGATATTAGATCAGGCAAAATATTAAGGTGTTGTAATCTTTTGCACATCTCTGTAGCTGAACTCCTTACTGTATTTGGACGGAAAATGATCTTTTCAATAGCTTTGATTGATATTATACTTGAACAAACTGCGTTGTACAGACAGCAGATATATAATAATTTCATGTGCCGTATACATATTTGTAATTGATGAATTAAAAATTATCTGATATATTATACACTGACTACCAATAAGTATTTGGACACCTATGCACATGACGATATCTGCGGTCCTAAGGTACGTCACGGACTCCGCCGGTATATATCGTGTAGGAAACAGCATCGGCTTTAGTCGCATGCAAGATGCCTCGCAGTTCGGAGCTCTCTGATTTCGAGAAAGGTATAATTATCCGGTGTCACAAATGTGGCCGATCCTTAAGGGACATATCTAGCGATCTGAAGTACCCAAAATCGACAGTGGCCTATGTGATTAATAAGTGGAAGGTGAGCTGTGATTGTCGGAATGTGCCACGAGTCGGCAGACCAACGAAACTGGGGGATAGAGACTGACGAGTGCTGTCCAGATAAATTCGGAAGAACCGCACCCAACCGATAGCTCTCATCCGCGAGGAGTTTC